CCCCAAAACCCCAAAACCCCAAAACCCCAAAATTAAATATTTAGTAAATTTAATCTGTAAACATGTACTTTTGGATTAACTCAGCTTCTTTTGGTTGAACAAGGCTCTCAATTAAGCTCTTCAACTCTTGTATAGTAGTCTGACTGTTTGAGATCTCAGATCGGATTTTCTCTAAGCATTGCTTTTCGAATGTTGTGTCAGAGGGTTGTTGAGCTCCGATGTTACAGAAAGAGTCTGCAAGGGAATAGTTAGAAACTTTTAATACTCAGAATCAACAAATTTTAGAAAGGAACCCACCATATTCATCAAATTCATCACTTATGCTTTGCCTTTCTACCATCCGACAAATCATCAGGATGAAGGCAAAGAGAGGAGGATATTCTCTGATCTGTGTCAATCTGGAACAAAGATTAGATTTATGAGTATCATTTCATCCCTTATCATATTGATGGATCCTTTGAACTATATTCATTAGGATGACTTTCAAGCATCCATTTTTAGCATTTTTGTTCCTGAATGCTCCTCTTTCTGCATAATTTGCCTATTTTGTGTTAAATTTACAAAGAGAAGCAATTTTAGTAACAAAAGCCACTCCTCCATTATACCAAAATGGAGAGTTTTGAAGGTCATTTTCTCGTAAAACAGAGGAAAATTTTAGAAATTTATGAAACAGGCTTACCAGATTATCAACAAAGATCTGGATTTCTCTATCCTCAAGCTTTGATAATGTCTCTTCTTGGCTTGTCAATCACATATGCAGGAAAGGATACAGTAAAGCTTCTAGTATATTCGAGCTACTGACTGTGTAAAGTCTTGTCAATATCATTGGAGTAATAGCAATGAAGTCTTCCACTGGTGAAGATGTGAAATTAGAGAGATATGTAACCACAAGTTCACCGATATGAAGAATACCTCTTTCATAAACCTTTGTATTATCCAAGAACTTCTCAATAACAGCTTTGATAAGCCCTATTGCTTCATGAGATTCCTGAATTTTAGATATAAGGGCTCCAACTAGCTTATGGTAAAATCCAAGCAAGGTTGTTTGGATAAATATTTCGTTTGTTTCTACAAGGACTTGAGATAAGGACTCAAAGAATTTATAGTCTATTTTGTCAGGAAGCTTTCCTACAGCCTTTGATACTTCTAAGATGCATTCCCCCATATCAAGACTATAATCAAATATAGCTGTGCCTGTCACTTCATCATTTGGATCTGTTGTAGGTTTGGATGAAGACTCATGTTCTTTTACAATACTATTCATAATGAAAGGGACTATCAGCTCGCTCGTAAGGGAAAGATCTTGATACACCCATGACTTTAAGAGCGAACAGAAGTCATCCCCCACAAAGGGATCAATGTGGTACTTCTGAAAAAGAACCAATATTCCTTCAACAATATTGCTGTTAATAAATCTTTTGAAGATAGAGCTATCTTTTGTGAACTCTTTGAAGTATAGCAGGGGAATACTAACAGTCTCAGCATTTGCTTCTTCTAATATTTTCAGAATTTCTTGTAGCAATGCTTCAGATTGCTCCTCATTCATTTCTGATTGGAAATGAGGTAAGATTTCTCATGCTGAAAGCTTAATAGCAAGATTATTAGAGTCCAAGAAATGATGACCTGCAACTTGGAAAACAGTATCTTTTAATTTCGGGTCTGTGATTATCCTCTTTTTCTGCTTAAGTACCCATAAAGCTCTCATCTGTATATACTCTGGGTATTCATCAGGGTTTTGAAGGTACGGAATAACAATAGAATCAATAATAGTAAGTATACTCGAATCAACACAATTGTTGTTACTTTGGATTCCATCAGGGAGGTTCCCAAGTCAATAGAGGCCAGCTTCAATTCATTTCATTCGGAATTCAACAGAATCTTCACAATAAATAAACTCTCTTGAATCTGTATTTGTACTGGAGTGTTTAGTTTCTTCTGGCCGTATTAACAGCCTCTCTATAGCTTGAAGAATGATGGGGATTTTCTCTTCATGCTGATCAATAACTTCATTCATAAAATCATTAGCCCAGCTTTTTAAATCCTTAGTGGCATATTCATTGTCTTCATCGCTAATATATTGGTTAGGATCATCTTGGAAGAGACTCTCCTGTTCTTTAGTAATATTCATGTACAAAAGGACCGTATACATTTGATTAACATTGAGAAAGTCATCTTCAGTTTCTTCTAGCTTGAGAAGAGTAGTAGTTAGTTCTATTAATTGAGAAATCATGGCGAGAAATCCTTCATCATCCGAATTTGCATCTTCACAAACTTCGTCTAAATATGAGAAAAATCGAGCTTACAAGTTTCTTTCAAAAAAGTTTCTAAGTAAAAAGCAAGACAATCTATGCACTCTTTTATTGTACAATAGCCTTCATCAAGTCCTCTGGATTCTATATCGCTGTACAAGGAATCCTGAGCTTTGAGTGCAAGCCTAACAAGATTGTAGTTTGACCCATGAGGAAACTCAATAGGCTTCAAGGAAAAATTCTTACAAATTAAAAGCCATTCTCAAGTTTTCTCTTCTGGCAAAAGTCGGTCAAATTTTTCAGTATCGGTGTGTTCGAAAATTGAGCATGAGTTGAAGAATCAATAGAGAAGCTCAAAAACTTTTTCAAAAATCTTGACTTCCTTTACATTTTGGTGACAAGTATGAAGGTCTGTCAATAGGTTCGGCACAAGTTCAATGAATCTATCTCCAAGTGTGTTAAATCATTGAATAAGAGTAGTCAGTGATCCCATTACTGCAATCTGATCGTCTCCCAAAAGTCAATTATTTATTAATGAAGGGATCAAGGATGGGTGGAGGTTGTCATAATCATAAGATACTATTTGAGAGATAATGTATGAAAGCTCAACACGTATTCTGTCGTTAGTAATTCCTAAATTGGAAATCAGTAGGTGCAGAATTAGCTCTTTTTCCGAATCCTTAAACGTGGTCAAAACCCATTCATCAATAATGTGGTTCTTTAGGACAATGATTGAAAGCTGTCTACAGTTGAAAGAGTTTGACTCATCACATGCTATCTGGAGTAAACTTGCTAGGAAATATTTCTTCTTTAAAAAGCTTTCAAACATCTCACTCCCCCTGGCAAATACATAAGGGTCGTTCAGGCACTTTGTGATTCATTCTAAATAAGATTTCAATCAACAGGGTTAAGATGAAGTTTAAAGAATTCTCCATGTTGTTTATTCTGTCTTACCTTTGAGTTGCATTGCAAGGGACTCATTGCAGTACTCTATACCTGATTTACAAATTTTTCTCGTATAGACTTCCATATTTATTATTTGGTAAACACAATATCTCAGGATAAAGCGGGGTTTTGGGGTTTTGGGGTTTTGGGG